GAAATATCATTGAACAGGTTGTGGAATGGCAATCAACATTATACATTCTCTTCATAGATTTCGAGAAAGCGTTTGACTCTGTTCACCGGGATAGCATGTGGAAAATAATGGAGGCTTATGGAATTCCAAGGAGATAATAAATATGGTTCAAATCTTATACGAAGGCACTTAATGTGCTGTGCTGGATGGGAATGAAGAGTCCGACTGGTTCAAAGTCAAAACTGGAGTTAAGCAAGGAGATGTAATGTCTGGTTTTATTTTCCTGATAATAATAGACTGGATAATGAAGAGAACAACTGAAGAAAGCAACACTGGAATTAGATGGAGATTCACATCAAAACTCGAAGATTTAAACTTTGCAGACGATATTGCACTTGTGTCACCAAACTGTCAGCAATTGCAAATAAAAGCTACAAAACTCTCACAATTTGCTGCACAAACTGGCCTCAAAATTAATAAGAAGAAATCAGAAGTGTTAAGGATAAATAGCAACAGTAATAATAGAATACAAATGGGAGAACAGCAACTAAATGAAGTCGATAAATATACTTACCAGGGTGCTATTGTCAGTAAACAAGGAGGAGGGGGAGATGATATCATTAACAGAATTCATAAGGCCAGAATATCATTCATGAAGTTAAATAGAATATGGAGTTCACACATTTACACCCTAGCTACCAAACTGAGGTTATTTAACACACTTGTCAAATCAGTTCTACTATACGGATGTGAGACCTGGAAAGTAAACCAAAGTGACGAATTGAAACTAGACACATTCCAGTTCAAGTGCTTAAGAAGAATCCTCAAAATTAGATGGCCGTACATTGTACAAAATAATGTAATTCTACAGAAAACAAATTCGAAGAAGATAAGTACAGAAATCATGTCTCGTAGATGGAAATGGCTTGGACACATATTGCGAATGGACCAAAACAAAAACTGCTACACTGCATTAACTTGGAAACCTGAAGGGAAAAGAAGAGTTGGTCGCCCCAAAACAACGTGGCGGAGGACTGTTGAAAAGGAAAGAGAGTGTCTTGGATGGAAATCATGGAATGAAGCCAGACATGTTGCATATGACAGGGCGGGTTGGAAAGAGTGTACTTCAGCCTTATGGGC